GTTTGGAGTTTAGAGCATCTAAGATTAATATGCTGATTTATTTGTTCTCAGATTTGTTTGATATTTTCTATGTTTCAAGCATAGTAAAGAGCTTGCTATTCAGTATTAGTAATAGTAATCCAGTTTGATAAAAGCTTATAAGAGTTAGGTATAGGAGATACATTAAGGTGGTATGTTGAGTTAAGATAGTATATAGTAGGATTAAGGTGTATAGATATAGGTAATGAGTTAGCTAAGGAGGCTTTAACTTGTCTAATAATGTTATTAAGTTTTTTAAGATTTAGATAAAGTAGAGTAGCTTTAGCTAAAAATGAGTGTTGAAAGTTGTGAATTGTTGTTTTTTTGTTAGGAATGCATTTAGTAACAGCATTGATAATACTAGTTTGAATTTTGTGCCAGGTAGTTTCGAGAGATTCAGAGGTTTGGATAAAAAGAGGAGTTTTGTTTATAATAAGATTGAGAGAAACTTGGTTAGCAAAAATTTCCTATTGCTTTTTGTTCATTGCTTTGTAGTTAAAGGTCCTGCATTTGGTTCTAGTTGAATATTTGTTTTTGTCTGTAAGGGCATGAGGAAATGTTCAAGAGAATATAAGGATTTTGTGATTACTTTGGGTGCAGTTTTCTGCATCATCTAAGTAAAATGAATTAAGGTATTTGAGTAAAGGAAGGTAGGCCCAAATATAGTTGATGGTACTGTGATGTCTACTGCTATGCCAGGTATAAGAGAAGGTATTAGTATGATCTGCTAGATTATAAATATTATTGTATTGTAGGAATTGCAGTAGTTTGTATTTAATAGATAAAGAAGTTGAGTTGTTAGGTAGTACATTAAAGTCACCTAGTATTATAGGTAAAATGTTTCAGTTAGTAGCTTCTTGGATCCATTGAATAATAATATTTTGAATTTGCAGTCTTAATTGTGAGATTTCACATGTAGGTATATAGAAATAATTCAGAATTTATGATCATGTTTAAAGAAGAGGTTTATAGCAATAGCATAGCCAGGAAGAGTAAGCATATTGTGTATATAGGATGTAAAATGTTTATGAATTATGAGTGCAGTTCCTGCTTTAGAACTATTAGTACATGACCAGTAATAAGAGTAGTGTTTTGAGTTATTAAATTTAATAATAACATTATCTTTTGCTATTTTCGTTTCTGTGATACTGATAATGTTTAAGGAATGAGTAATACAGTAATCCTCCCAGACTTGCTGTTTAAAATTTTCATTGTATCCTTAGATGTTGTGGGTGCAGATTGTGAGATTTAGAGGTGAGATATTAGAGTTCCTAGGTTGTGTTAAATTACTAGGGATAGGAGCTAAAGATGCTGATATAGAGAAAACTGGTGTTGATGTGTTTGATTTTAACTAAATGTTTGGATATTGCCAAATAGCTTGGATTGGTAAGATAAAGTGATTAGATAATGGTTTAGCTTCTGATGAAAGATAAACATAAGCTTTACTATGGTCGTTTTTAATAGAAATAGTTAATTTATAGCCACAGGCATTTTCAGGTAAATAGCCAAAGCTGTAGATGTGTTATAAAAAAAAAATAATAGTTTGAAAATGAAAAAGCAGTAGTAGATGGTTGTAGAATAGAAATTTGTTGTAGCAGGTATTATATTAGATGTTGTTGTAGTGGTGTTTGGCTATGGTAGTTTTATTATAGTCTTCTAAAATGGCTCCTACTAGTTGAAAGTAAGAGTATTTTATATTGTTTTCCTTTATAATTAAATTCAGATTTGGTAAATTGTTATTTATTAGAGAAAATTAAGAAAAAATAAGTAAGGATGGGTAATAGGTATAGGCTAATAGTTGTAGAAAAAAGTATTCAGATGAAGGTTGAGATTTGTGTGATAAGTGTATATAGCATTCACTATAATCAATTTTAATTGATATTGTAAATGTATAGTTAAAATTGTTTAATTGTGTATAATTGTAATGATGAATATGTTTTAAAAAGGAGCTAAGTATTTGGGAATATGAAAATAGAGGTAAATTTAATCTAGCTAACCACACATTATAGCATGAGTCTGAATCATATAGTGTATTGTAAGATGAGTCTTGAAGTTCTTTCTTGATATAGGATGATGAAATGAAGTTCAAGAAAGTAGAGAGTTCTTCTGTAAATTCACTTACTGTATGCTCAGCTTGCACAGCTGTGCAGGATACCATAACCTGTCCTGTACGTTGGGTCTGACCATCATTAATCTGGTCCTTCATGTCAAAAAGTTTTTTATTTTTTTATAAAAAAATAGTATTAGATTAATATTTTTTTATTTTTTTAATAGCTTTTTTATTAACTTTTATTAAGATTTATATCTATTTATTTGTATATATTTTGATCCAATTTTCTAGTTTAATATTCTTTAATTATTTTTATAAGTGCTCAAAGGCAGTATATTATACTAATTAGAATAATATTTAGATTCAAAGGTTTATTAAATTAGTCTAGAAGGCTATATAAAAATAGCTTTAGTTTATTACAAATATAATTTTTTATTAGTTTATATAATTTAATGCAATGCACTTATCTGAACAACCAATTAGATTATAAGATTAAATATAATATCAAATTGAAAAAAAATATAGATTTTTCTAAAAATTATTTGTATTTAAAATTTTGTTTATGAAACCACTTTATACATTCTAATAAAAACTATTCTTTATAAAATTTTGATATAAAACTTATTTTTATTTTTACTTAATTTTGATCTATTTTAACATTAGTCTTTACTTTAAATTAATACATTAATTAGTTTGTTTTGATTTCATATTATATTTAATTTTATAAATACATTACAACATATATACACACTTATCATAAAACTCTTTCTGCAAATCTATTGCACAAAAATTAACTAAAAAAAAACTGCTCACTTAAAAATACTTATATTTTTTATTTTACTAAGACAATCTGTCCTGACATCTTAAGTAAACTTGTTCAGCTTATCAATTTACATATATTTTAAAAATATTATAAATCTATCTCTTAAACTCATAAAGAAAATTGTACTAACAAACTTTGACCTCGAGTTTTAAAAATTTAATCTTCTTACAGTTTCTATTATAATAACTTAACTTATATCTTTAATTAAAATTGTAACACACATTTGTCTGATCAAAACAAGTTCTGAAAAAAGAATTTTAACCCAATATTGACTAAAATACAGTTAAATTTATCTTTTATTCTCTTACAAAATTTTTTTTTTACTTTTTGTTCTTACCCCATCTCTTTTTTCTCTTACACAGTTTTTATGTAACCATATCAACATTTTCTAAATTATACTTTATTAATTTATACCAAAAATCCATAATCCAACTATTAATAGAGTTTTTTAGATCTGAAGCTTTGCCAATTCGTATTCGTGGCTGCCAATCCATTTTTGTACTTGTGAAACATTACGACAATATGTCTTTCATATTGTGTAACATTTCAGATAATTATCCAATCAAATCTAATGCCCGCTATGCTACCTGTTCTTGCGAATTAATAAAGTCAAATGATGATTTGCCACAAGTAAGAGCCGGTATGTTGGTCTAAGTTTGTCCGAATTAGCCCGATAGGAAAATGTCGAAGGGTGATTTTCATAGCAAAGATCGTATGTATCAATTTCCTTATTTAAATGGCTTAAATTTATAACAGTATAACGATAAGGAACTCTAAAAATTAGATCCAGTATTAATTTTTAATTAAAATTTACAATTTGGAAACTTTTTCTGTGTGGCAAATAACGAAAACATAGCAAATTGTTTACAACTGTGCTCACTACGTATTCACAAAATGGTTAATTCTTTTTGTGCGGCATTTGTTCGAAGAAAATGTGCGTAAAATTTTGGTTCTGTGTGTTGCGCACAGTACGCACAGCAAAACATAATCAGAGATTAGATCTGTTAGATCTGTCTAGTTAAATTTGGTGACTTAAATAAAGACCAAATCCGTATGATAGTCACAAACCCAGAACATGCTATCTTTTACGGTTTTGTCAACTTCGGACACCCCTATCACGAACGTACGTACGTAGCTACTCGCAAATATTTGTCATATAGTATTGTAAACAATACAAGGTTAATTATTATCATTCACTTTCGTTATAGTGAAGTCGTCAGGCTTAAAAATAATCTTTACTATAACTTACATCTATAGAATACTATATAATTCTGTAATTCACTATATCGATATCGAATCTTCACTATATTAAGAGTTCATTATAACAAATAGAGTGTCCAGGATTCTGCGATGCATAACCTGCTCATGCTAAAAATATTTTTTTGTATTGTGTTTAATTTAAAAAAATGATTAAAATCACGTTGATCTTACGAATACAATAATGATAGGAAACAATGTTTTCTAAGCTGCAATACAAATTTTTGCAATACGTTATACACATGGTTTGTATACCAAAATTTTTACGAGTCTCTGCTCTCGTTACAGTGAAGTGATCCGTTCCATTAATCAATTTTTTTAAAAATGTCACTATACATGATATAGTCTTTTTATTAGTAAAATCCACTATAACGAGTGAGACTAGCTTTGAACTTAACTCACTAAATCGAGATTTTAATTAGCCTTCACTATATCGAGAGCTTACAATGAGACTGGCTTGTAATCCAAATAACAAAACCGATTTTTCTGTGTTCCAGGTGTACCAAGTATCGGTATGTATTGGTGCGTACGTATAATGCAAACCTTAATCTTTGTATACAATGATGATATATAACTACAGTAGTAGCATATTTCTTAAATTATCAATCTTAATAAAAGTGAATTGCATAGAAATATCGTTATTCTATGCATGCTGAAACTTAGTTTATCTCAAGTGTGTCAGTTGACCCATATTTTAGATAAAGTGATTGAGATTTTTAAAAAGGCGTGAACTTAATCGTTACAGTAGCAATTTCCAGTTTTTTTTTTTAAAAAAAATTTTTTTTTAATAATGGCAAGCGAGATTGTCGTTGAACAGTGTCTCGTCGAAGGAACTACTCTTTTAAAAGTTTCATTAAAAAAGAATCAACAAAAAGTCTTCAAAATTGATGCTGATCAAGGCCGAATACTATGGGATTCCAAAAAATCCGGAAAAGGCAAATATTATCTTATTAATTTGACGAATGTATTTTGATCTTCATTTTAATTCTCGTGCCTGTCTGTCTTCATTAGTCAACATTGAAAGTATCAAGGAAATTCTATTTGGTGAAGCAATAAGAAGTTATAGAGAGCATTTCAATCTTAGTGCGGATATGGAACCTCGATGGTTCACCATCACATATGTTGATTCTGGAAAATATAAAACTCTTCACTTAGTTGCACTGACTTCAGAAATATTTAATGTATGGGTTGATAATTTGGAAAAGCTATATTTGCGCAGAAGGGATATAATCGGAGGGTTAGATCATTTGAGAAAACGACAATATTTATGGCTAGAACAACAATGGAAGCAGGCTGATAAAGATGGCAAGTCAAGATTAGGTTTCGATGATGTCACAAGGTTATGCGGTCATTTGAATATAAACATATCAAAGTCGCTGCTTAAGACCAAATTTAAAGTTTGTATTGTTGCATGCATTATTAGTTGATTAATATAGAGTTATTGGATGCAAAGCAATTAATAACGTTATTTGTAAAAACATTCCATTGTCGTTATCAGTGGAAGATCACTGGAAGTAAAATTAATAGTGTCACTGGAACTTTAAGTTCCAATGACATTATTGATTTTACTTCCAGTGACATTGGTCGTTATACAGTTATATTGGTTTAAATTTAATGTGCTGGCTTCTGGCCCCGTAAATTTAAAGCCAGATAACTAAGTTATTGGTGCATAGCATTCAATGATGGGATCATCGAAATGACTCGGATACGTATCATTTCATCGACGATCACTTCACCGAACACCCTATCACACAGCGTAATGAGTAATATTGAACAATAATTATTAATCATCAAACAATCGTTAAATATTAACCATCGCTCTGTGCGATGGGGTGTTCGGCGAAGCGATTGTCGATGAAATGATACGTATCCAAATGACTCGAATAACAGTTATTCTGATAGTCCGATCAATATATATGTCGAAATTATTTCGGCTTGAGTCGAAACTATTACGGCTTATGTCGTAACTGGTCTCGGCCACATGTATAGTCCAATTACCATTAATTTTTGTTTAAACATATCGATAATTTTTGATAATAATAATTCTAGGAAGCAGATGAAAAAGGGGATGATCATCTTGATTTTACTGATTTTCAGCGATTTGTTAAATTAATTAGTCAAAGGGTTGAACTGGATAAACTGTTTAATTCTCTGGCGAAAGAGCGCAAAAATACATTGACTCTTCGTGAATTCAAAGACTTTCTCGTCCGTGTTCAAAAGGTGTGTATTCTAATTTAGTTTATTACATGGTATTAGATAGATACTTTGATTAACATAATTATTTTATAATGAGTTAGTATGCCTTGAAAGATGAAGAATTTGATAATTTATATTATAAATTTTGTGATAAAGGCCTTAAGGAGATGAATTTCGAGGGTTTTAGTTATTTCCTCATGTCTAGCGAAAACGCCATTTTTGCTTCAGAACACGCCAAAGTTTATCAGGACATGACACAGCCACTAAGTCATTATTTCATCGATTCTTCTCACAATACGTACGTCTAGAATATCTTTAAAAGTCCATTAATTATTAATTAACTAATTATTTATTTATTTAATTATTTATCATTTAGATATCTTCTGGGACTTCAACTGACAGGTGAATCCTCAGTAGAAGGATACATACACACGTTACAAAGAGGATGTCGTTGTGTTGAAAGTATGAACATAAATTATCTCATACGCAGATTAGACTTTTTTATGTTTGCAATAATTTTATTAAATTCTTATAAATTACTTATAAATCATATTTGTTTTTCTCTCCTAGTTGATTGCTGGGACGGCCCTGATGGTCCCATAGTTACTCATGGTCATACATTGTAATTAAATTTTAACTTGTATATCGTTTAGTTATAATCATATTGACGAGTTTTATCATAAATTAGGACATCTCATATCATGTTTCAAGATGTTATTTCAACGATTCGTACCTATGCATTTAAAGCCAGTGCATATCCACTAATACTATCACTTGAAGTTCATTGTAGTATTGATCAACAAATCCAAATGGCTTCTATTTTACGTAACACTCTGGGTGAATATCTTGTCATTAATTTCATATCAGAAAACGAAGCTGAATTACCAAGTCCTGCAAGTTTGTTATATAAAATAATATTAAAAGTAAGCATTTTATGATTAATGATAGATTTTTCTTATAAATTCCTTATCAAACATTATCAACACAATTCTATATGAAATTAAATCAGGGAAAAAAAGATTCTAATTCATCAAAAGACCAGGTCGACTCGGCCACTGATACTGAATCTGATACTGAGTCAAATGTTGAATCATCTAAAGGTGCGTCTTTTTTAAAATACCTTGTTAATATATTCATTTATTAATATTATTATTACGACTTTTATTCTTATATTTGATAGAAAAAGAGAAAATTAAGAAGACTAAATTGAAGGTTGCACAAGCCCTTTCAGATTTGATAGTCTACTGTTCTACTGTTAAGTTTAAAGGGTTTGACTATCATCGTGGTATGCTTGTCAAACTAAAAATTTGGTGATTATATTTTCATAAAAATTAATAACATCACAAACTATAAATGTGTAGAGAATTCGAAGTGCTATCAAATGTGTTCTTTTACTAGTAATAAGTCTTTAAAGCTCATAAAATCTGAAAGGGACGCTTTGATTCGGCATAATACGCGCCATTTATCACGTATATATCCGTCGGGTCTTCGGATAAACTCGTCAAATTATGAACCACATTATCAATGGATGGTTGGGAACCAATTAGTCGCCCTAAATTGGCAAACTTTTGGTTAGTTCTGATTTTGACTTTTTTTTTCGTTTATAACAATTTATATTAACTTTTTTATTGGATTATCTCAAGACCTAGGAATGCAAATCGATTATGCCATGTTTTCTGTTAATGGCAGATGTGGTTATGTACTCAAGCCAGAACGACTACGCAATCCTGAAATGGCTTTTCCGGCTCCCCCATCTCAAACTTTGACAATTGAAGTAAGCAAATTTGAGTTTGATTTCGATCTTATTTTTATTTCACAAATTAATACACATTTCGCTTTTGATTAATAGATAATTTCTGCACAACACATCCCTAAACTAAACGATAGCTTCATGGACAAGATAGTTGATCCATTTGTTGAAGTAGAATTGCTCATCCCTGGTGTTGATTCTACAAAACAAAAGACTAGCGCTATTTCCGATAACGGTTTTAACCCTACATGGAATGAAACTTTAAAATTTACATTTAATTGTGAAGACATGAGTTTGGTATTTTTGCGGTAAATAGATCTAATCCTAATGAAATTGTTTTTAATGCAAAATTTGCTTAAATGAACGTTAAAAATCATTAATATTTAAATTTATAAAGATTCGTTATTTGGGATGAAAATGTTAGCAGTGATGATTTCATTGCATCTTATTGCATTCCCGTAACTAGTTTACAACTTGGTGAGAATCTTTTTTTCTACTTTTTTTTTTTTTTTTACACATCAGTAATCTTGAATGTACTTTACTTTCTTAGGGTATCGTTATATCCCGCTAAATGATGTTAATGGCGAGCAATTTCTTTATACTACTTTATTTATTCGATCTTCTCTCGAATTTACTTCCGCGTGAAAAGATGATATACATCAGACCTCTCTATAGTCACCACCTATATAGTCACGAATTTCATATAATCTCAAGTTTATTTTTACCAACTTTTTTTATTGTCCAAAGTGTAACGAGGACATATTGATTTTTCTAAGCATTCTATGCAACGGCGTCAGTTCGATACTACCAATAACAATTGAGAATTTTAGGTATTATTTATAACTTTATATGAGCATAATTGCTTTATAGTTACTACGTATCACTTTTTTTAAAAAACAATGATATATATAAAATTATTCTCTATATAATTACATTATTAAATATAAATATTTAAAAATATTTAATTTATTTTTATTTAAATAAATAAAGGATCATTTTATTTTCTAAATAAAGTTGTCAAATCATATTTTAAAATTTCATAAAATTTAGAAAAATTTTACGAATACATATCATTTTCATAAAAAAAATATAAAAAATTTTTTATACGAAAACATTAAGTAAAAAAGTTTATTAATACATAAAATTTTATAAAAATTTCCAAGTATAATTTGTTCACCCAAAACAATTTTTAATTTGTTTTGCTATACTGTATATTACTGTATTTTTACTACTTAAGATTAAATTAGAAAGTAACTAACTTCTCTAAAATATGTGTTTTCTTAACTTATTAAGTAATACATCTTTGTAACTAAAATTTAATAGAAGAATAACCAACTTTATAGTTTCTATTAGCTTATTAAGATATACTTTCTTTGTTATCATATTGGTAAAAAATAATATGGCATATTATATTTTGTATAAAATTTTAATTGATAAGTTACATTAAATATATTAATTTTTCAAACACCTTTAATTATTATTTATAGCTAAAGATGATTACTTTTTAACATACCATTTTCTACTAAAGTATTAGATTAATAATGTAAATTACTGTACACCCTTTTGTTATTTAATTTTTATAACCCATATCTCTCAAATTGGGATTATGAATTATTAACATTTCTTAAAGGCACGTTGCCTAAAAATACAATACCAGGTAAGCATGTTGGTAACAAGTCTTCGCTTTTGCAACTTGCAAGGAATGTATTCTAACGTTTAACAAAAGCAGTTACTGGGATTTCTAAAGGACTGGGTTTAGAAATCGAGTCCCATATAACTATTACTAATTACACGATCGAGTCCTTACAGGAGAAACCATCGATGTTACACAAGCCGTGAAATGATCAGCATTGTGCATATTTAAGTAATTAATATAATTAAAATTATATACATCAACGATCATTGCCATTATAATTAGGTATAAATGTAATTATAATTAGGTATCAATTTAATCATAATTTGTAATAAAAATAATCATCAAGCTTATTTTATTTCATATATACTATAATTTTATTGCTTTTTTTTGGTATTAAGATGATTTTTTTGGTTTTTTGATTTTTATTAATGATTTTTTTGGTAATATGATTCTATAAACCACAGTCAGACCTCATTATAGTCACTCTTGATATAGTCACAACCTTGATATAGTTATCCTGTTTTTTGTTTCTAGCTTATATAAAACATATAAATATTGACCTTCATATAGTTACAACTTTTTAAAATCATCAATTGTTTGTTTTCTAATCTGGTAATTATATTAAAATCTAACTGTATTATTATTATTATTATTTTGATGTTAAGGTAACCTTTTTGGTCTTTTGATTTTTATTAACAACTTATTGGTAATATAATTCTATAAATTATTACAAGAGAGAGTACAATTGATTACATATATAACTTTTCTATATTATTTATTTAAGGAGTCTGCTTAAAAGTTTTTTATCAATTGCTATACCTAACATCTTTGCTTAAGTGTTCTACTTTAAATTCTTTGAACCTATAATCTGTGTTAATTCACTAAGTCATATCCAGATGCTCAGATCATCATTTCAACCTTAGGACTAATTTATTCTTAAGGTAAATTCTTCAAAATCTTCTGTATTTATTTTTATAGTAAAACTAGTATTATAGAATGAATTTTATTATATTTTAGTATAGTTTCATGAATGTATATCTTATTATTAATTGTTAGCATTATTATTATTATTAGTATCAGTTATTATTATTATTATTTAGTTATATTTAATAGAACAAATCAATTACAATGATTGATGCTTAACGCTTAACACTTGACACTTAACACTTGATGCTTAACGCTTGATGCTTGATGCTTAACGCTTGACGCTTGCCATTTGACACCTGATGTCTGACACTTTGCTCTAATAATTATTAAGCTTTGACACTTAGCTTTAACAATTGTTAATAGATATATAAACTCTAAGAACTTCTTCAAGTCAAACAAGTTATAGACACCTCTCTTTTTCTATCTTTAGTTTAGTAATTTCTATAAAGTGTAAAAGAATTCCTTAGAAACAGAAATCTAACAGATAGCTTTATTTTTTTAATAAAGTTATTATCTTTATCTATAAACTATATTGATATTCCTCCTTTAGGATAATTCCTACAGACAAGGTCTATTGTTCCTAAGTTAATAAAGTTATAAACTGTTGTATTGTCTTAACTGAACTGCTCAGAGAAGGGTATAGTTGCTAAATAGTTAAAGCTACTATACTTCCCTCTTAAACACCATTATAAACCTGTAAAGGATCTCTGTAGTTGTGTCATTGTTATAGTAAGGAGTTAAAGAAGGCCTTCCTACTATAACACTAAGTATTGTTATAACAGAACTAACACTTGTGATCAGAGTTCTATCATTTTATTGCTGTGATCTTGTAGAGTTTACACAGATCCTAGCATTTATTTCATAACATAATCTTGATACTTTAGTATATCTTTGCCTTTTGTTTAGTCTTTTTACCAAACTTCTAATCTAGATAATTCATATAGGACTATGATCAGTCTATAGTCAAAATCGTACCCGTTAAGAAAACTTTTACCTGAGTATTAATAAATTACTCAGTTAACCAGGTAATCTTATTATAACTATATAATAACATTTTCTACCTGGGTACAATCTCTAGTCTATAGTATATCAGATTGATCTAATATCTTTTTTCTTTAGTTTGTTTTGATAGCCTAATTGGTAATACTTTTGAAATTTCCAACCTGAAGGTTTTTGCTTGTCTAACTATTATAATTAGATATTATAATCTTAGTATTAATTTCTTCAGACTAGTCTTTATAATAAAACTATTAAAAATCTAGTTATTTCTTTATTTAAATTCTTTTAAATAGATATTTTGTTATCTAATTTTAACAGATTTATATAGCTATAAGGACTTATCTAGTGTTTGCACTGTCTAATTTGTCAATTTGCATTCTTTTGTATAACAAGTTATACAAATACTTTATAATCTGCTAGTTATATTAGTGTAATTACTATTACAGATATCTTAATCTAATAATTAGTAACAGTTGTTATAATATGAATATTATATAAGTAATTATTCAAATTTTCAGTATTGATGAGATTTGAACACCTAATCTACTATTTGAAAAGTTGATAACTTGACTATTTTACTAGATTATTACATCCTTTTATAAACTATTATAATAAGAAAATATAATTAATTATATTTGTAATTTTTTTATATTACTTGTTTAAAGAGTCTACTCAAAGATCTTTACCAATTATTATATCTAACACTTCTGGTTAAGTATTCTATTTTAAACTTTCTAAACTTACAATCTGTATTAACATTACTAAGTTATATTTAGATTATTATCTTAATCTTAGATTTATTTTATTCTTGAGATAAATCTTCTAGAGTCTTTATATTCATTTTTATAACTGATTCAGTATTATTATAATAAAACTAATATTTATTATTAAGATTAGTTATTAAACTGTTATGTTTTTATAAAGTTTATTTAAACCCTAATACTACTTTATAGTATATCTAAATTATTTTAATATATCTTATATTATCATCAGATTTTTATTTTAGATAGCTTAGTAGGATTATAACCAGTTTATTAGTATATTAAGTTAACTTGATCTTTTTTCTTTAATTTATTCTGATGACCTAATTGGTAATATTTTTATTTGGAAGTTTTTGTCTGTTTAGTTTCTTTATATTAGTATTTGTTTTTTAAAGTTAGTCTTTATATTAAAGATTTATATTATCTTTTTGTTTAGATCTTTCTAAATAGATATTTTGTTTTTTAATTTTAATAGATTTATATAATTATAAGAACTTATTTAAAGTTTATATTATTGATATTAGGTTGCATTTTTTTATATAACTAGTTATACAAATGTCTCATAATCTATTAATTATATTGATGAAATCATTATTATAGATATCTTAATCCAAATATTAGAAATAATTATTATAATACAAGAATTATATAAATAATTATCCAAATTTTTGTTATTAATAAGTTTTAAATATCTAACCTACTATTTGAGAAGTTGATAACTTATCCACTTCACTAAGTTACTATATTTAATTTAATTAATTTAAAAATAATAACTTTATATATTTTAATATATTTCTATAATATTTGCAACTAAATCATTCAATACAAAGATGTAGTAATCTAGTAAAGTAATCAGATTGTTAATTCCCAAATGATAAGTTTAGAATTCAAATCCTATAGATGATAAATTTTAGAAATTATATTTGTGTTATAATAACTGATTCTGTTAATTAGTTAAATTGATATATTTGTAATCTTTAGTCACACTATCTTAAATAAAAACTTGAGACATTTATGCAAAGTATAATATTATATATACATAGAGAAATGTTATAACTAGTATTGCATAAGACTTTAATACAAATCCATAATAAGATCACTGAGTACAGAAAGCAAAGAAACTGAGAAGTCAGAAGTTTACTTAAAAATTCTAAATAAGAAGATAACATAAACTTTCAATAATGCTGTTGAACTGATAAAGTCTATGAAATATCTTCAGTAAGAATAGACAAATAAACCAGATAACAAGATGTATAAAGAAGCATATAACCAACCAGGTTGCCAAACTCATCAAAGAAAAAAGATACTAAGGTATTAATGAAGTCAATGATGGATTCAAAAGATAACTATCGCCATTTAGGATATTTTATTATTTTATATAAGCACTACTTGCTTATTTCCATGGAGAATTCTATTCAAAGGTTGAACCGGTTATTAATAACATTTGTGTTTACTATACTACACATTTGCGTAATGTTGACGCGTAAGCATTATTTATTGGCATGTGTGTGAAAATGCGACTTCCAAGTTTCACCACGTGAATTTTGCTGAACTAAATTACTATGAAGAACGCATGTGGGTTTTACCTTTTCGCTATCGAGCAACCTACGCAACTGTATCTAGAATCGTGCGAAAAATTAGAGATGTTAAGTAGTTTAACCACCTGGTTAGAAACGTGATCTATTCAATAGAACTAGCTAGTTTAACTAGCTAATCCGCACATTAAAAACCGTGGTTTAATATAAATTCAGACTACTGGTCAGACTACTTAACATCCCTACAAAAAATGCAACCTCTCTATTTATTTTATTCTATTCTTTGATATTATGACTGTCGTCCCAATGGGTCATTAAATTCTATTAAATTCTATTAAATTCTATGTGAATGTCGTCCCAACAGGCCACATTCACGGCTTTCACTATACAAGTATTTCAGATCTCTCCATCACTTCCTATTCACGACTACCGTCCTGGCAGGTCATACAAATTAGCATTACTCTAACGCGGAGGGATCGATATAACCAGAATGAAAGTCGGGAAAAAGACAAAATTGGTTACAACCAATTTCCCCATGCTTCTAATATACTATGATTGATTATTACTTCATACTAGGGGATGCGATCCGTTATCCGTTGGATACTATATTTAATAGTAAAATCCGCGGATATCCGTTAAATTTAATATGAAAACGGATAACGGATCGCATCACTAGCCTCATACTTGCCTAATTACTTCATACTCACATACTAACGAACATTGACTCATACCAATGACCACATAACTAATTACCTCATACTTTCGTTTGACCGCAATTCCTCAATGTGTACCAGATTTGTGGCGCAGATTTCCTGAACTACGGATCAGATTTCAAGATCAGGCGTAAGAATTTTTACTGCGCCACAAACCTGGCAGAATTGCCGTTTGACCTAATAATGATCAATCGAACATGTGACTGTAACTGTGCTTGTCACATGTTAGATCGTTGACTGAAAGAAAGCTGCCTCGATACATACGTATCGATCACCTTTTAAATTAATAATTTATTATTATAAAAGAGATCAGGTATATTATACCAAAGTTAACGTAATCAACAATGAAGTCTATGAAATGAAAGAAATACCTACATTTGATTGATACTTATGCATTAGATTTAATTAAATAAAATAAAAATAATAGACAGTAATGGTAATAAAAATCCGATATAAAAAAAAATATTATTTTATATTATAATGTATAAAAAAAATTAATTTAAAAAACTATAACAAAGAAGAATCTTGCAATAAATGGAGATGCTCCAATGATTCAATGAATCATTTTAACTTTTTATCTATAAGAGAAGTATAGTTCAAACTTGATCACATGAGCATGCTATTGCTATTGTATGCTGCTGCATATAGCATATAATATACTTCGTCAGAGCGGCTCTCAAAAGTTCGGATCATTACAAATGATCTTTTAAGACCATATAATTAATTATTTTGACATATCATTTTGTTAGAAAAGATCCCACTAAATGCTGTAGCCGAACTTTAAGGGTCGTCTTGACAAAGTCTAATGCGTATAGATACGTGTCTCCCTAGTATTTCTATTGTTGATGGACTTGACAATATTGGTCGATTTAAATAGACTACCAAGTCGAGTCTATTCATAGGTAATGACTTGTCACAAGCTACTACGGCATAATACCCTTCGTAAATAAATGAATGCCCGATAAAAAGTAAAAATTATTACGTATATTATTTATTATTTTAGCAATAAAAAGAAGTCGGTTTGTTCCTCATCTTTGATTTTTTTTTTCCACACTCGAAAAAAAAAATCAAAAAAATAACAAAATGACACAATTAGCCATAAATAACACACCATATGCAAAAAAAGCTGCTAGTTATATCAACATTGTAAATGAATTACGTCGTATCGGTACAGACTTCGCTGTAAATTTACCAACAATCGTTTTTTGCGGTAATCAGTCAGCTGGAAAAAGTAGTTTGATCGAAGCTATTTCGGGAGTAAAGGTGTTTATCCTATGTTTTAGTATCATTAATCAAGTTTTTGTTATGATCAACGCTTGAAATACATATCGTTTTGTTTAAATAGCTCCCAAGATCTGATGGCACATGCACAAGATGTGTTATGGAAATCAGACTTAGTGAATCGATCGATGAGTGGAAGTGTCAAGTTTTTTTACGTAAAGAGTATGATGAGAACGAAATGCAACTCAATCGGCCAATAGAATCAAAGTTTGGATCGTTAATTATTGATCCAGATAATGTGGAATTAATGGCCCGTAGGGCACAAAAAGCCTTATTAAACCCAAGGAAAAATAGTGACTTATATTTTAATTGGGATTTCGGTAATAAGAATTATGATGACGATTCAAAATCAAACGCCATCAAATTTACAAAAAACGTCGTATGCATTGAGATAAAAGGACCTGATGTCCCGAATTTAAGTTTAATTGACTTACCAGGGATTATAAGTATGTTAACTTTTCAATATCATGCTATAACTTTTGAAAATTATCATTATCACTATCATTATTATCATTATTATTATTATTATTATTATTATTATTATTATTATTATTATTATTATTATTATTATTATTATTATTATTAT